TATCAGATGTGTGTACTCCTTTCAAGCCCACTTTCTTCAGAGGTGTCGATTGTCCCAATTCCTGTTATGTTTGGAGGTAGCAGAGGAATGAAATTGGGCTGTTTACTGCACACGTGGCTCCACTCAGCTATCACTTCACTCTCTGCTCCTTTGCTCTTATTTTACCGATGCCCTCCTTGCTTCCTCTTGCCGCTGCCGTTCTCTACTTTTTTTTTTTTAAGTGGCCCGTTTTAACTTGGTTCCTGCGTTGCTTTTTCACATTTTTCATCTCTCATTTTCCCTTGACTTACCCTCTTTTTTTTCAACGCGTCACTCTTTTGGCATGTTTGACGAGCTTTTTGGCAGAATCTATATTGCACTTTCATGTCCTTGGAATAATTAAATCATTTATCCTATCTGGCAGCATGTATTTAATAAGGGAGATACAAAAACAATCACACACACAAAAAAAAAAAAACAACATTTGGATGAGCTCATTGTGTCACTAATTGCTATTCACGTGGCAGTATTTCTCCAAATGCTAAGCATTCATGAGTTGTGGTTTTTTTTGTCTTGCTTTTGTATCAGTCGAGTGTCATCCTTGACTAATGTGCACCACTTCACTCTCTGTTTAAGAACATTTATCCAAAACACATACATTAATACCTACAGTTTAATTATGTTTAGAGAATTTCAAGATAAAGATTGACTGTGTCAGTAAATCCATTCATTCTTGTGGGTTCAGCAGCACGCAGCGCCCCTTTGTGAGAAATAACGACATGGATGGTTTGTGTTATTGATGGCCGGTTGTTGCGCACACAGCATTTTGATTCAGACTGGTGTAACATTTAATTAATACAAGCAGGTGCCACGAGGAAACAGTGGCCGGATATATTCAACACGGAGCAAAAGCTGAGAAAAGTGAAGCTGTGCTATAGTGGTGTTGAATTTTAAATGTTCTCTATAAATACATTTGGAATGGATCGGAGTAAGAGTGGTTTTGGAGTAAACTAAATAAACTAACCAAAATACAGTTATCAGGTGGAGGTAATGCGGTTCAGTACCGCTGAAAAGTACAAACACAGTACCGGTAATAAACATTTTGTTAAAAGGTACACTTTTCTGACTTGATACCTTCGAATTAGACACAATTAAAGGTTGCCAGTACCCACTGCGCTGACATTTAACCATAATGAAGTTTAAAACAGCTGATCTAATCTGAGTGTACAGAACAATGATATCACCGCCAGATACAAACAGGCACATTCCACAGGAATAATTAGCGAGATTAATCAACTCCACTTGCCTGACTCGTGTTTATGTTTTGATGAAAGACTTTCAAGACTTTTGTTCCATGTGCTGCAACTCCATCAAGCCAGAAGAAGCTGGCATCAGAAGCTGCTATTCTACCAGCATACCTGTAGGCACTTCACCCCTCAGAGAGCTCCCGACATTCATACCGCATCACCTCCAGCGTGTTTCATCATCAAGCGTATTTCGGCGGAGATGCTATAGAGGCAGACAGCCAGTCTTGAGTGGCCAATTACGGCCGTTTATCTCGCTTCCAGGCACAGCCGTGATCAAACAGAATGAAGAAACAGGATCAAACAGCAAAGCTAAAAAAAAAAATAAAAAAAATCTTTCTTCCGTTTCGTTCACTTCTCTTGGCAGCCTGCATCGGCCTCTTTCTGTCTCGGTTACTTCCTCGTGCTGCTCTTCCATTTCTCCCCTTTCAATACAGATATGCACATACACGCATCTCAACAATACCTTCTCCTACTCAAATCATCTCAAGAGACAGCCGAGCTAAGGCATTTGTAAAAGTTTACTGCTGAGGAGGCTGCGAGTGAATTTGTCCCAGTAGATGAGCCAGGAAAGAACTGCGCTGCAGACCGGGGGAAATTCCAGGTAAAAAAAAAAAAATTAGGTTGTGGTAGTCAGAAACATAGGCTGCACTGAAACCTTTAAAGTCAAACAGCCCTGGGAGTCGTTCACAAAGATGTCACCCACTGAATGAGTGCAGAAGAAAGTACAAGCGGCAGCCAGAAATGAGAACGTTTATGTCAAGATATCCGTGAGGTTTGGTGAGCCCAGTGGAACAAATAAACAGGAGCAAAAAAAAAAAAAAAAAAAACACTCTGAAGAAGCTGCCTCACTCAACCAGCTGCACTCCAACAAACCACGGACTACCAGAGACCGATTGTCTGAAGGTCAACATATAACATAATTTACTAAACTATCTAATAGTAGTTCATCATGTTAGGTTTTTTGTAAATCACATAATTTAATTACTTAGCCTATTATCTAAATTGGGGTACACACACACACACACACACACACACACACTGATTAAAAGGGACACATTTTA